TGGGGTATAGAAGAGAAAGACACATGCAGGTCCCATGAAGGAACTAGCTACCAAGCCAAGGTGAAACTGAGAGAAACTATCTTTCTTCCAGAGAACATGTTTGGCCCCCTTCTCAAAGGTAACGTGGCTGCATGCCTTTGTAGTTCATTCTCTTTTAATTTTTTTTTTAAGAAAATGAGAGAAAACATCAGGCAGAAGCTGGACCTAAAGGACATAGTGGTGGGGAAGGAAGTGAGAAAGTGGCGAAGCCAGGGCAATTCACTCAAATACAATTTCAGATTAAAGATCATTACTAGGAAACACTTAGGAAATGTTAGACTCAAGAGGGAAGAGAAATAAAGATAGAGCAGTACATCCTTGGGTGGGTAGGACACGGCACAGGATGACACAGCATTGTTGTATAACACCTCATCCAAGTTGAGTAGCAAGGTTAACTTTGGGATAAAACTATGTTCATATTCTTAGCATGAACTTCTCCTTTGCTATATAATTTTGTCTCTCTGTTCCCAGTCCATTTGTTCTCTTTGGCATGGTTACTGTTGATTAAAAAGTTTTCACTTTAGCCTAGCAATTTGTCCAATTAGCTCTTAAGCCTTCCAATTTGGTACTTTCTAGATGCACAAATGCCTTGGAGACAGAGGTTGCTTTCCTTCAACTTGAATCTCCTAAATAATTAAAATCTATATTATAACAGGTACTCAGATATTTAAGGGAGTTAAGTTAACAAATGGCCAACAAGGTCAAATGCTGTGGAAGTGAAGGACTTCTTGGCAGAGAGACTGGTTCACCCAATACAAGTTGAGTTCTGTCCATGGTTCTGAAGTCACCGCTGAGCAAGCCTCAGTTTCTGTTCACTGGGAACTTGGAGAAAGATGATAAGGTAAGCAAGATATTAGCGTATGGCTAACACTCAGCAGGGGCTATCACAAGAGACCATAGAGGAGGGCATGGGTGTTATCTAGCCTGTTGACTCTAGTGATGATAGGTCTCTGCATTAGCTTTGGGTTTTTTTGTTGTTGTTGTTTTGTTTTTTAATATATTTGGTACAAGGTCTCACTATGCAGCTTGGACTCATGGTGATCCTCCTGTTTTCAGGCTTCCCAGTGCTAGGATTACAGGCATGCAGGCCCCTGACTCTGGCCAACTCAGCCTGCCCTGGGGGTGGGGCTGGCGCAGCATGTGGTGCTGGGAATCAAACTGTGGTTCTTGAGCTTGCCTGAGCTTGCCTGAGCAGGCGCTTTAGTCCACTGAGCTATCTCACCTGCCCCTCTGCACTAGGTTTGCACCACTGCTCTAGCAAATTATCACCAGCTTAGTGCTTAAAACAATGCAAGCTTATTATGTTACAACTCTTCATTTCAGAAGATTCACAGCTGTAAGACTGAGTTAAAGTCACAGTATTAGCAGGACTGAATTCCTTTCTCAGTGATGTAACAGGGAATCTGTTTCTTCTCTTTCCAGTTCCTAGAGCCCAGCCATCCCTTGGCTCCGAGGCTCCCCTTCCTGTCAGCCACATGACAATGTTTCTACTGCTCATTGTCAGTCTTTCTGATGTCTTTGCCTAAGGCTCTCCGCTCTAACGGACAAAATTAAAATTAGACCCTCTCTGATCATGTAGGGCAATCAAACTATCCCCTAGATCTCTGATTTTAACAGCATCTACAGAGGCCTTGGCACTATGTAAAGCAATGTCTTAGCAGGTTCTGATGACTGGAAACCTTTGAGAATCCATGATTTGCCTTCCGGAGTCACCATAACTTCCAGAATATCAATTTTAATTCAGTTGAGGCATAAGGAATGAAGAGAAAAATCAATGATATCAGTATCTTTCAAAGGAATACTGAATAGGGGTTTCAGGTGCTATGACAAGGATAGTGTTTCATTTTCATTTTAATATTCATATAATAAAGAGCAAGTTGCTAACATATTTCTTAACTTGTTTTTTATGTATCACTTCTTATTGTGTCTTTTGTATTAGCAAAATGGAAATTCATTGAATATTGCAGTGTCAATTTAGAGATATATCAAGACAACTGAGTCTTTCGTGTTTTCAAGATTTTATATAGTCTGTTTCTTCTTGATGGTTTGGAGAGATTAAATTATCTAAAACAGTACATGCAGCATTAGTGAACAACACAACAGCAACAAGAGTATATCTATATTAAAACTTTTTCAAGATTTCTGAATTTTTTAAGATATTGACATATTAGTATTAACTGATAATTGCTCATAAAGGAATCACTGCTAGATTTGTAATTTTGCTATACTATATTTTCAAGAGAAAATGCAACTATATTAAAAAGAATTTAATTACAATTTTAAGTATCATCAATTAATAGTCATTTTTTCTAAAAATCTATATGAATATAGATGCAACAAAACTGATTGATTTTACATTCATAATAAGATTATCTTTTAAGATTATTATTGTCACAAATAACAAGATTTATAAAGTGAGTTTAAAAGCTAAATATGAACCAAAGTTTAAAAGTAAAATAACTTCCATGTTATGCCTAAGATGTTTGATATGCAGACAGATAGTGAGGTTAAGCTTAGCAGCCTAAGTTGTATGGTAATAACAATAAGCTTGTCTTCTGGATGGTTAACAACCTAAGTTCACAGACCAAAATTAGATGAAAAGGAGGGCCGCAAGGAAAGCCAACATTTTGGCCCTAGCCTTCCAACGTCAATTAAGACTCAGGACATATGAGAACCTGTACTGTAACGTCATGTAACTCGGCAGTGTCCCAAATTTTCTGATCAAGGAGATTATGGGGCCAAAGAGGAAAGTGATCGATGATGTAGAGTGTGCCGAAGGAGAGTCACATGGAGAGAAAACATTCTCTCAGGCTTTCACAGAGAGCACATTGGCCAAGCAATGGCCGTGACTCATCCACATGGCTGACACTGACAAAGATTCTACCATCTGAGGTACAGGATCTCAGGATAAATCCTGAGGGGATTTCACTGACCTTATCAGACCCAAAAGCTACAACTCTTGTTACATAGGTCCTGCTTTACCTTGGTCTTAACCACCCAGCAGAAAAGTATAAAAATGAAGTATAAGAAGTAAAACCATGCTGTTATGTTGAGCTGTGGGGGACTCAGGTCAACAATTTCTGACATTGCCAGTGAAGCAGAAGACCCAATACTATTATGGGATACTGGACTCTTTTAGATTATTTTGCTGAGTTAACACTCCTATAATATTCAAATAATGGAACTTAACAAAAAAAAGGGTATCCAGATGAATGTCCATTTTGTATCTGTGCATTCAAAGTGGTTAGGATAGATATATAGTTACATTCTTTTAATGAATAGAGTGATTTGCTCTAATGGTAGATAGGATATCATGTCCGCATCTTGTACAGCAACCACTGGGAGGAATGTATGCAATGTGTTAATTATTGAAACTGTCCTACCAATTTGATTTGAAACTGTCTCATTGCTATTTGTTTATCAATAAAATTATGGGAAAAAGACAAAAAATAAAATAACTTGAATGAGTTTATTACAGATTAAAAACTATTTAGTTGTAAATATTCTTTTTCATGCCAAAGAAGCCTCCTTCTATTATTAAAATAATAAGAGGAAAAACAAAAGCAAAAAGTAGTAGAAACAAAGACAACAATAGGGTAACATATGACAATAAACATTACAGATTTTCAAAACAAGAATAGCAGATTAACAATGGCTGTTTGACAATAAAAATAGGCACAATAGTAACTATTTTTATTGTCAAAACTGTTGCTCAGATTAACAGATATAGTTAATCAAGATTGGGCAATGAATGAATATTAACATTTGCTTCCAATAAACCTGAATTTTTTAATTGACTTTTTAAAAACTTTTTTCAAAATTTATTTTAAAGAGAGTATAATAATAATTGAGAAGACATTAGAAATGGTACACATTTAGAAGATCTGTCTGAGAGGTTTTCAACCGTGGCTTTTGTATTACACATTGCTGTCCACGATGCAGTTGCCTAGATCACAGATAGCAGGTGCGATTTATTTCACTTATGAAGATAACCTCTATTAATTAAAATTAAAAAGCTGAATTTTCAGCACTAGGGAATTACTTTGGTAAACTCGGGTCTACCTATAACATGGATCACCTAACAGTGTTGAATAGCAATCAGTTAAATGCAAAAGTACTTCTAAAGATATCTCTTGATTTTTTAAAATAAACTCACACATATGCGAACCCCCAAAGGACACACAAATGGAGGCAGCCGCTTCTTACCTGCGCTCCCAGTGGGTCTGGCAAGACACACATGGCTAGTTTTACTTAAAAGTCTTTGTGTTTCTCACATTCTTATGAAAATAGGCACAAGAACGCGCTTGTCCTGCAGGCAGCTGTGTGTGCTCAGCTGCAGACGCAGCCTCCGGGCACATCCTGCGGAGAGCCCCTGTCCTGCCTGCCGCCGGGTCCCTGTCACCTCCAGGCATCCCGAGGTGGACGCGGTGGGCTGGAGCTGGCGCGGGCTCAGCACCTGTGTTCGGTACAGAGCCTACCGAGCCTGCGTAGATCGGACTCCGAGTGCTCCGCTTGCGTTCAGCCTCCTAAGAGCTGGGATGACAGGCGCGGGCCACCAAGCGCAGTCTCAATCGTGTTTCCCCGCGACACGGGGTGGGAGGGGAAGAGCCCGCATGGCACGCCTTGGATGGAAGCCCAGCAGCTGCCCTCTGCCTGAGCAGGCGCTTTAGTCCACTGAGCTACCTGGCTGGCCCCAAAAATATTTTTAAAATAACAGTTTATTACCACTACCGACTGGATTATTTTAATGTGAATGTCCTCTGCAGCAATTATTACTTTTAGCTAATGGTATTTATTATAAGAATTAAACTATTAAACAATTCACCATAAGTCAAATAAAGCATTTACAAAAATCACTTTACAGGAAAATGAAAATATTCCTTTTGCTATATTTTAAGAGAACAATTTTTTTAAATTAAATAATTTTGAACCATTTTAATATATATCCACTCACAGGTCAGTATAAAATGAGCTGACTACATTTAAGTATTTGCCAGCAAATTGTTTTGTTTCTCTAAATTAAGTTGTGATTAGATTTAGCTCTCAGTAGATATCACTTCACAATTTCAAGTTGTATTTTCAGTGATTTTATGTTAGCTTTTTAAAACTTAATTGTCATAAACATTAAACAAGGCCCCTGAAGTAGGTATCCCATCAGTGTAATGGGTGGTTCTGCCTGGTCATTTCTAATAGAAAGCGCTTTTTCCGTGAATACTTAAGAGCCACCGTATGACACCGCTGAGGTTGGGCTCAAATACAAGTTATTTAGGGACCAAAATGACACTTTGTGCCCTTCAGAGTCATCACATGTTGAGAGGGGAGCTCTTAGTAAACTTACCTTAGGCAGGGGGAGCCATAGGAGGAAACAGTGGACTCAAGATGCGCCACGTACAGGTCAAATCCCCCATGATGAGTGTGGTCCTTCTGCACAGCTAAATTGCACCACTAAACTTTATTTTACAAAGTTTATATTAGGCATCCTTTGTGCTCTAAGTCATCAGAAGCCTAGCATTTTATGATTGGAAGAAATCAACAAAATTAGTCCAGCATTGAGTTCAAGTCAATATATACTTAATCAATCCTCTGAGAAGTCAATCAGTTCCTATGCTTTATTTAAGCCTGAATATTTCAGGTAATATTTAATTGAAAATACTAAATCAATGAATCTTACTCAACTTTTTTCATAACAATAGATAACATTGAAGGAAAGGAATTTTATGATAATGGGAAATATTATTTTCTAATTTCAAGATCTAGAAAAAAATGTATAATTCTTAACATTTCAATTGAAATTATTGGAAGTAATTGTTAATGAAAAGTATTAATTCCCTTTTATAAAATATCTGGCATGTAACAGAAAAGATATTGGCATTTTTAAATAACTTGCATGCTAGAAAATATTTTAATTGCAGAAGAAGTAACAGTCTGCTGTGGTTTTTGCATGAAAAACAAACGAGGTTTGTAAAATGTTGGTGACATTTTGAAAAGAATCTACTTACTAGCTTTGAATAGTTTGGTGAACCCAGCAATGGATTTTGTAGAGTGATCGAATCTTCTCAGAGTCACTTTTGAGACTGGCATCTTCTGTCCTCCTCAAAGATCTCACTAGGAAGACACACTTCCGTTCATTATTTACTTAAGCAAGTTGCTTATACAAGGTGAGATCCAAGATATGATAAATTTTTACATTAAAAACTTAGACAATAAAAGTACATTGTCATTAATCTCCCTCAAAATACTCTCCTTTGGTTTGAAAATTCTTGCAACTTGCTGAAGCAAGTTCTGGAAGTTCTCTCTTCACTGTGTATCTTTCTTTATGTGGCCATGACCAGCTCCACGTTCTGAAACAAGCAAAGCATTTTTACCTGTCATGGTCATTTTGATCTGGGAGGGAGCCAGCCAGAAGTCCTACAGTAGCCTCCTGGTGAGCAGAAGGGAGGAGGGCTCATCGTGGTGATTTTACAAGCCTGCCTTCCATCGGACAGCAGTCCGCAGCATCCTTCCCGGTGTTCGCGGCTTTGCTGATCACACCTTGTGTCCAGAAGGACTGGCAGAACCGCCTCTGGAGCAGCGGCGAGAATGATGAGCAGGGCACGTTTGGAGGAAGGGGCAACACTCCGAGGGGAACTGATGTCACGTGTCCTCTAGGCTAATAGAGTGTAAAATTGTGAACATCCGCCCTACATTTTTCCATCCCTCTTATTAAGGACTTACTGGTGTCTGGGTGTGTAGAGTGTATCAGTCCTTGGCCTGAATGGTGAGCTTCCAAATATAACCAACAAACTGGAGCATAAGAAGTAATGTCCATTTGAAAATTTAAAAAAGAAATCAGCATTCCTGTAGGTGGAACCATGTATTCTACAATAAAATGTTTCTACACGGGAAAAAGATATATTTTGAATTTTGAATTACAGAAGAATAGTTCAAACAGATAAAATGGAGCTGGAAGGGATAGTTTCTAAATGCCTTTTTGTCATGAACTTTTATTTTAATTGCCAACTAAAATTGTATTCATGTAGTGCAGTGTGTGTGTGTGAGTGTGTGTGTGTGTCTGTGTGTGTGTGAACTGCAGAACTGTTTAATCGCCTGCTTTAACACATTCTCATATAGCTTTTTTGGTGAGAACACTTGAAATCTATTATGCTAGCAATTTTCTAATGTATGAAAAAAGCCCCCTATGATAGATTATTAACTCTACTTACTGTTATGCACAACGGATGTTTTGAACATTTTGGAACACAGATATGAGGCACACACTTGTGTACACACACATTCAGATATTTTCACACACAGTCAAGAAAAATTTTATTTATGCAGATTTTATAATTTGTTTTACAACAGTTATCTAGGTGTCCCCTGGTAGAAAAAAGAAAGAGATTAAAGCAATGCACAAATAAACAATCATCCTGAGATTTTAATCTTCAAATTGGAGCCTCAAATCTTGGTAGTTGAAAGAAAGAAGAGAAAAATCAAGTGGCAAAGTCCCCCACAACTCCCGTCTCAGCCACCGGACTAGGCAGGATTGGGCCGGAGCAGAGAGTGCAGAGTCCAGGGCCGAGCGGGTTCTTAGCAGCAGCAGCCCCTGGAGCCTGCTCGTTCTGATGCTGGGAACACAGTGCTGGCTGCAGAAACAGCCGGAGCTGCGCCCCAGCCCCACTCCCGCTGCAGCCCCAGTGGGTCCCAGACACACTCAGAAGTGCCTTCTTGGGAGGATCCCGGGGTGCAGCACGAAGGTGACCTCAGCAGGTGTCTCCACTGAGAAGCCGGCGGTGGTGGGCACCTGGCTACAAGGGACACTCTGCTCCGTGAAGGGTGTGCTCAATCCCTGAGGCCAGGCAGGCGACCCACGTTCAGCAGATATTAGTTTCTGAATAAATGGATATTGTAATAGTGTGGGAAACAGATCCCACTCAGCCTATCATCCTGTGAATCCAGGGCTCCCCTAGCTCCCCCCTGTGAGCACTTAGTTCAGCTGTATGTAAATGCCAATTTCCAAGCTATAGACTTAAGGATGTGAGGAATTTCACATAATAAGTGAGTATAGCTACTAAAGCAGTAGGCTTTCACATAACAAAATTAAATTAGGAATCAATAGCAATAGAAAATCTGTTAAAATCCCAAATACTTATATTTTTTCTTTTTTAATTTATTTATTTTTTATTACATTTTATTGTTTTTCAATAATTTTATTGACAGACAAATAGCAATGAGACAGTTTCAAATCAAATTGGGAGGACAGTTTCAATAATTAACACATTGCATACTGTCTTCCTAGTGGTTATTTGTTGTACAAGATGCAGACATGAGATCCTCTTTACAAACACTGTTACAACAAATCCCTCTATTCGTTAAGAGAATGTCTATGTCTTGTAGATAGTTTATAGTTTGTTGCTGTATACAGTCTGAGTTCATGCTTTTGATGGACATATTTCATTATTATTGTATTTAAAATGATATTGATACAGTTGCATTTAAGTCTATGACATTTCTATTTGCCTTCCATTCATTTTGGTTTTGTTCTTCCTTTCTTGTCTTCTGTTTATTTAATAAAAATTTTGGCACATAAAAAATAAATAAATAAAACAGTAGGCTTAACGTATTACTCAGAATTTACAACTACTTTTCATAATGGCAACCTTGAGAACTGTAAAGGATGTCATTAGTTGAGCAATGAATTCCTGATCAGAAAAGGCACCAATATTTGAGCACATAAATCTTTTCTTCCTGTGTATCAGAGGCGAAAATGTTTGCATCAGAGAATACAAAAGAAATAGAGAGCCTGCACGTGCACTTACGCATGGTTCACAAACAAGAGTCATGTGCTCGGCTTGGTCCCAGGCTTTCCTAACCAACTGTGACCTAAACAGTAAGCAGCGACACCATGGGCACCCACCACCCCGGACCGTGTGCCTGGGGGGCAGACCTGTGGGATTCAGCCTCTTCTCGGGGGTGCAGAACAGCCTGAAGTGAAAGACAAACACAAGGCCTGGAGCAGCGTTGGTTGGTTAACAGCACACAACCCTCTGAAGTGGCTGCGTGGACTGTCATCTGTGACATTGCTTGCAGCCACCGCCGGTGGGGTCCCCTGCTATGAGCACTGCACTTCAGCTCTGTAAATGTAATGTGTGATAGAGCATAACCTATGTCATTTCGTCCTGATTCCCCATTCCTGAGGGCAGGGAACACTCTTCAACTTGCTTTGGTGAGTGGCTGCCTCACCCCAAAGTCCAAAACCATAGATGGACCTTTTAGTAAAGGATTTTCAGGTGAAGCTCGGGATCACATAGATTGGATCGATCCGATTGGTGATTGCCTCGGGCTGCCTGCTGTGTTTTCTGCTTTCCACTTCTGCTCCCGCGTTGTCATTATCTGACATGTGTTAATATTTCACGAGTTTGAACTGTACGGAATCAATTGTAAGTGCTGTGGCTCACGCAGCAGCGTGGAAGAGAGTGTGGCATCGTTAAAACATGACCATCGATCCAGTTTCACGTCTCCTAACATTTTTCCTGTACAGTACTTTAACATAGTTTGCGATGATACGTCAGCATTTTAAAATGATGAATGAGATCTCTAATACTTTTTCAGGTTTTTAGAAGAGCAGCTTCACCAGCCTTCTTTTTGCAGGGTCACAGTCTGTTCTCCTGGGCTCCATGGGTCACCTCATCCTAAGTCTCTGCAGATCATCTTAGTTCTCTCTCTCTCTCTCTCTCTCTCTCTCTCTCTCTCTCTCTCTCTCTCTGTCTCTGTCTCTGTCTCTCTGTCTCTGTGTCTCTCTCTGTCTCTCTGTCTGTCTCTCTGTCTCTGTGTGTGTCTCTCTCTGTCTCTGTCTCTCTCTCTCTCTGTCTCTCTGTCTGTCTCTCTGTCTCTCTCTGTGTGTGTCTCTCTCTGTCTCTCTTCCTGTCTCTGTCTCTGTCTCTGTCTCTCTGTCTCTCTCTGTGTGTGTCTCTCTCTGTCTCTCTTCCTGTCTCTGTCTCTGTCTCTCTCTCTGTCTCTCTTTGTGTCTCTGTCTCTCTGTCTGTCTGTCTCTCTGTCTCTCTCTCTGTGTGTCTCTCTCTGTGTGTCTCTCTCTGTCTCTCTTCTTGTCTCTGTCTCTGTCTCTGTCTCTCTGTCTCTCTGTCTCTCTCTTCTGTCATCTTTTGACACAACGTGAGCTACTTTAGAAAAGCAGCACACTTGGCTGGCAATCCCACTTGGAGCGGGAGTGAGGAAACAGCAGGAAGTTCACACTGCTGGGTCTGCACGCAGTCATGCAGGGAGCCTATTCCTCGTTATCAGACACTACTGAGAACACCTTTGGGTGATCCAGAGTCTTAGAGCATTTCATTGTGAGAATATAGAATTTTAAATGAAAAATAATGATTAACCTTTCTAGTTTCTTACCTCTTCAATTGCAGAAAGGTCCAAGAGATGGATAGGTGAGAGGATGGGCAGGGAAAGGGATTTTTAATAAAAATTTCAAGATGTGTTATGTACATGTGCCAGGTGTGTACTACCATTCAGTGCTACAAACGTTAATAAAAATAAGTAAATAATAAATAGTTCCTTGGTAAAAAGCAAAAACCAATCCTTTTGTATTTCTAAGATGTAAAAATAAAGAAAGGAGAGAGAGAGAGAGAGAGAGAGAGAGAGAGAGAGAGAGAGAGAGAGAGAGAGAGACTGAAGACAAGACAGACCCACAGCTTTCCCTACTGCAAATAGGTCCTGCTCTTCCTGAAAACTATTTCACGGGTAAATACGGTCAGCATTGCTCTTTGAAGCCCTCCCATTTCACAGGTTGTGCAAAAATACGTGAATTGTAGAAGACAGTGCTGTAGGAAGAAAAATCATTTTCTTTCTTTCTTTTTTGTTTTTTTTTTTTTTTTTTTTTTTGGTAGAACTGGGGATTGAACTCAGATCCTTGCATTTGCCAGTCAAGCGTTTATCCTACTGAGCCATCTCCCTGGCCCCTAAAAATTATTTTAATAAGTGAAGAGAATCTACGTTCATGGATAGGAAGATGCAATACTAGTGAGACGGCTTTTCTTTCCATGTTCATTTATAGATTCATCAGAGTCTCAGAATCCTAGCAAGTCCCTCTGTGGAAATCAGGAATCACTCTGGCACTGACATGGGCACAGGGCACAGAGTGTGATGCTAACGGAAGCCAGGGGCAATATCTTCGTGGGACGGAATCCCGCAGATTCTCTGCAGAGGGGGATGTGGACTGCTAAATTCAATGTCACGGGTACCAGAGAACGGTTGTGATTCTATTTCATGGGCACCAAATATAGGCTGATAATTACTGTGTCGCAAAATTTCTCACCAAGATTGAAAAGATACCTAGAAGCCCCAGCATTGAGAAGCCTTCTGCAGCTGAGGGGGACACACACGGGTGAGGAATATCATGAAAATAAGAACGGCTGACAAGACCTGGGTGTGGAGCACCAGAAAGAGAGCACATGTCAGCCAGTCCCACACAGTAATGACACCATGCCGCTTGTGTGGCTCTGCTGCTGTGGCAGAAAACAACTTTTCCCTACTGGTGAAATGACAAAGCCAACCTGAAACTCTTTTCTTTTAAACATTCTTTCAAAACACCAAGAAAACACATGTTAGGAGCTTTGGACATGTGCTGTATTTCTCTTGCGTGGGGAAGCCTGGAGTTGGAATTCAAGCCTCCACAGCTTGCACTGCCACCCTCCCCCACTCAGGAGGTGGAGCATCTGTGTTGGGTCCTACATGACCGGTGTCCACTGGAGCAATTAGTCCTAATTAGCACATTTATTGTCCGGGCTGGAGGAGATCTGAGAACAGGATGGAAAGAAAGGATAATCCCTTTATCTCCACTCCTGTTGATCTCTCCAGAAAACAAGATGGAAACACATTGTCAAGAACCTAAGATAATTCCCTGCCACAAGCCCACTGCCAGTGTGAACTGAGGTCTGCCTCTTGTCACACCTGCTGTGGCACTCGTGAGGATGAGCCTCACTCCGGAAGTAGAAGGGGAGACCCCCAGGAAATGGTAACACCATCTACGCTCGCGGCTCACCGCCCCACGGGTTCTAGTGAGTATTTTCACATTTTAACACAATGGAGACCACCAAGTACTCTTGCATTCCACAAGAATATAAGTGAACAAAATAGGCAAGGACTCTTCTTTGAAATATAAATTTGCAAAATGTCCTTAAGTTTAGTAGCCAAAAGAAATTCTTCTTTTTAGATGCTCCTATTCATGGAAACATTCAAGTCACCTGGATATGGGTTAAAGAAATAGTAAGCACATCAATATTTATTTATTTATTTTAACGTATTTGGTACAAGGTCTCACTACGCAGTTCATAGTCATAGTGATGCTCCTGTTTTCAGCCTCCCCAGTGCTGGGATCACAGGCATGTGCCAGCACTCAGTCTCAGTGACTGGCTCAGGGGGCAGCGCCGGCATGGCGTTGGCGCTGGGAATCGAACCCACAGAACTGCACGTGCCTAAGTACGCGCTTAGCCAGCTGACCTACCTCGCCAGCCCCTGCACCAGTTCTTACACCTGTTTTATAGAAAAGCATTTCCATTCTTTTTTATTATTAAATAATATTATCTATTTAATTATTAAATTATTAGGAGGACCAGAATGCAAACATGACTAAACTGCACAAATCAACATGATAGTATGATATGCACAAAATTTAAGCTCTCTCATTGATTTATGAATTGTAAGCCTATTGATTTTATTTTTCAAATGATTTTTAATATTAATATATTTTTCTATTATCCAAAAGTATGTTACCAATAATTACTAATAAAAGTATATTACCAATATTATAAAAGTATGGAAGTATATTATTAACAGTACCAAGAGAATATTACTAATGATTACTAATATTTCAGAAATTATTTTGATATTATCATAATATTATAGTTAAAAATAGGTCTAATAATGTAAATTGTTACAATCTTTTGACATTGAAAATATGATGGTATTTATTAAATTTAAAATAATCACACCTTTGAGGATTGTGCTGTAAAGTATTTAGAATTTATGAAAATATTTTAAAATTTGTTTTGTTGGGGCTGGGAAGATAGCTCAGTGGAAAAAGTGCTTGCCTGGCAAGCACAAGGTCCTGAGTTTGATCCCTGGCAAAACCAAACAAACAAACAAACAAACAAACAAACAAAAACCCTAAAAAATAAAATAAAATTTGCTTTGTAAATTTGACCAGTTCTACTAGTCTGAGATGGAGTACATACATAAGCACACACAACTGGACAGAGAACATGTGTGTCAGGCGATGTTATATGTATTATAAGTTATGTAGCATATTACATGTACAGTGCACATAGCAGTGTCTATGTCTATATTTTGCATTCATATATGTATATAATACAATATAGATATAGATATTTATCTACCTATGTACACAGCTATATGTTTACATGTATGTTTGTGTGTATGACTAGATCTGGGTAAAATTGTTAATCTACAAAAGAAAGAAAATTCTTGTCAGTGCCTAAATAGCACAAAATGAATATCACAATATTAATTACCAATGAGAAGTAAAACAATGAGTTGTTGATAACCCAATGGAATGAAATATTGAAATTATAACATCAAATTTTGTAGAGTGCAGTGAAATATTGAAAATATCACATGCCACAAGAGAGGAAAGGGCTTCTATTTTTGCTCTTCGTCCCTTTTTTTTCAAACCACAAATGTGTATTTCTTTTATATTTATAAATGAATATGTATGTGAAAAGCACACAACGACTGGAACGCTTGGGTACAGTCATGAGCAAGTCAGAGCAAACGCTCTGATTAAACAAATGATATATTTAAGAGGTAACCAAAACAGCAAGAAAAAAGCCACAATTTTAAACAATAATATTTGGTACATTTTCTTCATCGCTGCATTTATTTTATAAGAGAGAGACTCCAGACTGGAAGTGCTGCCTTGTAAATGTTTTCTCTCTCTTTTTTTTTTTTTAAATGGCCCTCTTTTTTTTCTTTTCAAAATATTTAGCGTCTACATTTCATCAGCCAACCAAGTAAATCATGGCTTCTTCAAGTGCAAGGATCGAAACCAATTACCATTAGCGGCCATCGGGCGCAGCCGCTCCTTTCTGTCCTGTTGCCTGCATCTCAATGATCTCCCAAGTGTGCCCGTGCAATTTAGCAGGAAGATCAATACCCCCCAGCAGTTAGCAGCAGCTCTCTTGAAGTGCTTCACAAAACATGCTACATTTCTCCACCGAATAAATGTCAAAACATTCCAACAGCTACAATTCTTGGGAGAAATCGCTCTTCTGAAACATTATTGACATCCTTTAACCCACATTTCCCGCTGCTCTCCGGCTTCCTACTGGCTGGTCAATTCTGATTTGGCAAGAGCCACGTCGACATCTGTGCCCCGCTGACTCGCTCTGCTGCCGCGAGCGGCATCGGGAGCCGGCAGGCAGGGCGTGGGGTCCGCGGGTCAGTGGTCCGGCGCTGACCCAAGGTCACGGTGACGGGGACCTCCCTCTGGAGACGCGGCTTCATCTCTAATGTGCCGTTGAAGTGGATCGATCGCTCAGCGCGTGAGGCCAGCCGGCCAAGTGCCGCTGCGCACTCGGGCAAGCCAGACGCGAGGGCTTCAGCCAGCAGCGAGGTGGGCAGGTTCCAGTTCTCGTTCAGGGGCCGTTCTTCATGCTAACGCTCGTGACTTTATATATATTTTCCCATCTAATATACATATATATATATATATATATACATACATATATATATTGCATATGAGAAAGAGACAGAAAGCAAAATTTCTTTTGTCCTTTCCATTAGAAACTCTCACACTGAGAGTACACTGGCCGGTTCTCATGCAAACCCCTCTGACCTGTTTGAGAAGTCCTCAGTAGTCAGAAAGTTTAAGCGGGAATGGCTATCTCCTTTCGATTTTTACTTTTTTGCTTTTCTTTGTTCTTTTGATCTTTACTCGCTGGATGTACAGCTGCCTTTTTTCTCTTTTTTTGTGGCCGGCTCCGCACACCCTGGGGCAGGGCTGGCGTGGCATGTGGCGCTGGGGGGCGAACCGCGGTCCCTGCGCTTTGCCGAAGCGCGCCTACGCAGGCGCTTTAGACCACTGAGCTACCTCGCCGGCCCCCAAAGCTGCCATTTTTAACAGCCGCCTCCCTCGCGTCTCTCTACTGATGATTTGAAAATGTGAAAAATTTCTCCTCCGGGCAGCACTGTGCGCAGAACCTGTCATGCAGAAGCAGAACGCCATCGGCTTCTGCCCAAGCCCTGCACCGGGTCCTAAGAGGAGCGAGCGCCCGGGACGTGCCAGGTCCCTCCTGCCTTGGGCCCAGAACGCGCAGCCCCTGTGCTCGCTGGTCCCGCGGAAATGCGGCGAGCAGAGCTGCCCCCGACGGCGCGGCGCGGGTGCCACGAGCTCCCAATGCACATGTTCGTCACACGTTTGGCCACTAAGCTTATCTGGAAACGGGATTAAGACTACTTTCCTGGCAGAGTATCTGGGATGCTAATCCACAAAGCGGTCGCAGGGTTACCGAGTTAGCTGCGGCCTCGCCTTCTGCTCCGCACGACCTCTGGCGTTGGCTAGGTCGCTGCAGGTCTACCAGGATGAGTTAACGCGAAAGGCATGGGCAGCGCACTAGGCGGGATGTCGCGGTCGCCAGCTCTGAGGCGCACAGCTGCTCAGGGGAGTTGGTTTATGTAAGTACGAGCATTAAAATATTTGCAAATGGCGGTTAGAGACATTAGAGCATTTAGCCGAGATGTTTTGCAGTAAGTATCAACAGTAGTTATCTGTGAGAATGATTTTTTTTTTTTTTTCGGAACCGGGGATTGAACTCAGGCCCTTGTGCTTGCCAGGGAAGCACTTATTCCCCTGAGCCATCTCCCCGGCCCCGAGAATGATTTCTTGACTCTACTTAAACTTATAAACACTGCTAAGCAAACGTGGGCCACCAACGTTACCCATCATTAATTAACAGACCTTGAAGGTAAGAGGTAAAGCTAATATTTTCAGAATTTGTTTGTATCCTTTTCCGAGCCATTGCCCAAACGCATGTGTTTAATGGAAAACTTACACGAAGTCACGGATGTGAATTTTTTAGTAAGGCATAAGCGAAATGTCGCAGGGCAGAAGAACCAGGTGACCGTCTCTTCCTCCTCGCGTGTGCCAACACACACAGACTGCACTAGTGCAGATCGCTACTGCGCATGCGTACTTTGGGTTATGAGCTCCGATCGCGGAGATACTGTGTAGTAGGAATTAGCTACAAGCACAGAGTTACAAGCGTGAGATGTCAAAGCTACAACGGTAACCCGGATAGAATGCACTGCATCTTCTCAGGTATGCAAGCAGGTTTCTGTGACTCAAATAGTAAGCCCTTGGAGTTGACCGGAGATTTAATTACAACGCTTTACAGTTTGACCATGCTGTAAAATCAATGAGCTCTTTTAAGATTTTAAGTAAAAGCTATTACAGATGTCAGGAAAGCTGCAAATTTTATTTTCTAACCCGAAAGAAGGTGGACTCTGGTGATTCTAGAAAAAGAATTTTTGCAGCTAATATATTACAAAATATTCATATATCA